AAAGATCTTCCACTCGACCTTCATCACTTTAAAATTTGCTACAGCTTGATAGTTTTTAGTAAATTTTATTACAGTACCATAGATCGAAGCTAAATATTCTTCCATATTCACGTATTCAAATTTTATTTTCGAAGCTTATAAAAACAGAAATATTCACAAAGTCCAAATTGAAATTTCTTGTACATTGGTAATCTTATTGGTCATACTGCAGCTGCGGTGGTGGCGCAGATCCCGTGACTTGAAATTTTGATGGCTGCCCTGGTCATGACCAATTCTTTGATTTAAGAAAAGCAGTGATTCGCCCAATCAGAATAAATAAAAAACTTTTAATAATCAGGAAAAATTATTAACCAATTACATCACGGTTGAGATCGACATAGAAGTTCATATAACTGTACCACATATGATAATCATTATTTTTTCATTTATAAAATATCTTTTATTTCACACATGCTTTTATGATAAGAACCAGCACAAACGAAGTTCGAAAAGGTAATAAGGGCGAATAACCTGTTGTTTTCTATCAGCACCATTATCAGAAAATGTCAGTTATGGAACTTTGGAATCTCCACAATTCCAGATCATCGCTGTGTTAACTGATTTCGTTGCAATCGTCAAGCTAAAGGAGTTTCATTTCTGCATCTATGACTTAATATTCTGCATATTGGCATTGATTGTGTATAGCGAGACTTTCTATGAAGTTAGAATTGTAACAGGTTTGACACTTTGTACCTGCTTATGCTGGAGAACATGCTTGCTATACTAAGAATGGAAGATTCAGTTGATAAAGTTTAAATTATTCTAGTGAGTTCGAGGTCAAGGTTAAGGGAAATATATAAATAAACAGAGTTCGTAAAATTTAGCTTTTACCTTCTCACAAATTTTTTAAGATATGTGTATTTATGACAAAGAAAAATATCTATAAAATCAAAATCCCACTTACTATGAATTTTTGTATTTAGAAAATGAAAAATGGAAACTAGTAATAACATTAGTGATATTACTCTTAACTTTCACGTCCATGATAATAATAAACCACCTAATATATCTAAACCATTGGATGATCACAAAGTTAATATTTCCAGATATACAAAAATTAGTGAACTCAAAAACAAGGTTAAAGAAGTGTAACATCTATATTTAGTAATGTTGAAATTAAACTCTGTAGAATTATTCATAAGAATTCAAAGGCAGTAGAGATAAATTCGGAAGATATGATTTCTACTTATTTCTCAGCAGTTCAAGAAATCGTTTATTTCCATGTATACCCAAATTATAATTAGGCTTTTTTATCTGTATAAGTATTCTTCACATATTCGCATTATTAACAGTAATATGTATTCATAATTTTATTTTTTATATCTGCCTTATTATAGGCAGGTTTTTTGTTTTGTAATAAAGTAATGATGTGATAGGCGTGATTTCAATAACTTAGGATCCGAGGTCTTATCTCCTGATCTGTTCGTATAACTTCTTACATAATTATAAAGCCACCGATCACACAAAAACAGATACGATAAAAATTTTTCATTCTTCACTTGCATCGCATTACCTAGCTTTTATTAGCAAGATACATAAACCAGATTTTGTAAATTTTTACATATAAAAGTACCACTATGTCTTTACCCAGCATTTCTTTACCTTCATCGCCAGTTTCCATATCCTCTACTTTGACAGAAGAAAGGTTAACTCGCATGATGACAGATGTAATAAGGAATTAAAAGACGGAAGAACTTATCGACTATTTGCAGAAGCAGGAAGGCTTAAACTTAGATGACAATGATTTATCAATTCTGTGTAAAGAAAAAATATCTGGTCTCGCTTTTCTGAATATGACAGAAGATAGATTCTGTAGTATTGGTTTGGCATTAGGACCAGCGATGGCACTTGCAAAATTTATCAAAAGTCTAGGTCAAAAACTATATAGCTTCTTGTCATATAAAACATTGGAAGAACTAAAGGACATACTCTGAAAATATAAAGTCAATGGAGAGGATATAATGAGCATCAAGCAATTCAATCCAGGTATGTAGTATTTTGATGTTATTTTTTTCTTGATATTTTTCCTTTCAGGCCGGAAGTAAAATTTCTTGGCAAAGTGATTGATCAAGCATTGGTTATATATTAACATTTTTTTCTAATATATAGTTTTTGAGGAAATTGATGACAATGACAAAGCAATTGAACAGTGCATGAATAAAATAGTACTACAGCTGACGAACATAAAATCAATGATAGAGGCCAACGAGGCGACCTGATGTGAATTTATTTCATCAATATTACACACATCAATCACAATCGCATGAAGGTTAACAGATAAAGAAATCAATATAGAACTGCAAAGGGATATTTCAGGAGAAGAAGCTTCCGGCTGAGTTGATTATGCAATAACTGAAATGAAAGATCTTTTGTGCATCACTGAGGGGAAGCCACGAAATGTCAAGATAGGTTACCTCCAAAATATAAAACAGCTCGAAAGCTCGTTCTATATGAATAAGAGGAAACGAACAGCTGATGAGGCATTCAATGGTGGGGATTATGACTATCTATATGGGATCGTCTCTACAGCCATGAATTGGCATTTCATTATGTTTATTTCTGATGGGATTTTCTATACAAGTAATAGTGAATATCAGATAAATTTTACGAAAAAGGCACTTAAGGGAAATCATAAAAATTTAAGGGATGATATAAAACAGATAATCAGTATAATTGTGGAGTTATTGAAAGATAGGATTTCCGCTTGTGATGAACCCAAATCCAAGAAGCAATGCATACAAGAAAAAATCAAAAATTTTACAAAGTAATGAGTAGATAGTTTTTCTATCTCACGTATACTTTTTATCTTGTATCAATAAAGAAAAAGCGATCTCCAGATTTGTAGATCATGCATAGCATATTTCATTCTAATTTCGGAACATACAATTTCACTGATTAATGTAATTTCAGCTTATATACTAATTTTGTTTTAGCTTCAGTATGTAGATATATATAGGTAAGAAGAGAATGCCTAAAGATGCTCTATTATATAATAAAATTTTAGTAGTATCGGGTATATACTGAAAAAATGACAACTGAGGAAGCACCCAAAGATTTGTCCACTTCTGATGCTGAAGTTTTTCAACTTGAAGCACTTTCCTTAAATTACCTATGAAGCCAAAATATTTCAGCAATTCTGGATGATAACCATATACCAAAACTTCACTTATGCAAGCTCTGCAATAAAACCATACTTAATTTCCGATTCGAAGCTTTCACGATATTGTGTTGTGGACACCTACTCCATCGAATCTGTCTTGAAACCTATATTTTGCAAGGAGGAGTATGAAGTCCTTCATACCCAATCTGTAATTGAGATATCGAAATTAATAGAGAGGAACTTGGGCTTGCTTCTGGTGAATGTTTTCTGGCATCTAAAAGTTATGATAAAGGAAAGGCCTCTCAGGAATCTAATAAAACCATAGATGATGACAGAGGTGAATTGGAGATTATGCGAAATATGGGGTTGGTAGAAGAGGACTCCATTTCAGCTAAGCAAGCTAGTAAGGAGGATCAAACAATAATCCCTATTGTAGATAATTCTGTTTCTATGCAAGAGCAAGTTATAAGTCCTATTAGCAATGAAAAAGGTACAATGAACTTGGTGCAGGTCAATTTAACCAATCAAGATAATACAAACGAAACCACAGATTCTACTACATCACTACTCAAACGTCCCAACCTATTGGCTTCTGATAATTTGCAGTCTACTAAAAAAGTTAAAAAGAGTGACGAAAAGAAGAAATCAAATGTAGTAAAGAAGCTTATAGAGGAATTATCCACCAAAACATCCCAGATATTGGAAGTTAGTGAAGAAAGTACTGGTAATTTTCATGATTTATATCTTGCAATCAATAAGACAGAAGATCAAAGCGAGTATGTAAATCGACTTGTGGTTAAGTCTTACTATGATCTTGGTAAAGCACTCAAGAATAGGTATGATCATTACAAAAAAAGCAATCCAAAACATACTGCCCAGGCATTAGTCAATAAAGAAGTTATGCAACAACTCCCCAGCTCGGTTAGTGAGACCTTACTATGAAAGAGAAAAGAAAGAGCTCAGAAAATCTACAATTTATTTAGTGAAATTGGTGAGAGTATGATTCAATAGGTTAAATCTTTTACAGCATTGTCAATTTCAGAAATGAGTTAGGATGATATTAATACTATACTAGTTCATTTTTCTTAGCATCAAGATACAAGTAAACATCAAAAGTCATAATTTATGTATTACTGTGCCACAGTCACATGACATTGTGACCTCAGGTCACATTCTATGTAATAAATTCTAAAACACAATTAATAAAGCACTCATTTATTTTTTATATCAGATTTGATAAATTGTATATAGTGTTATACATGTAATATAGAGCCCTGTATGATTATAATTACACGAAAAAATAATTTATACATATGTATTACATATATTGAATCGGCTCACATAAATACAATTGTTTCAGTCATGCCAGTTTTGCCGATACTATATTTGAACTTTATGCTTTCGTTATCTCGATTCCTCTTGTATGTGAAGAGGAGAACAAACAATTAATATAATAAGATCCTTCTTTATATTCACCTGATATGGATTCTCAATATTCTTGATTACATGCTAGGCATAATGATAGAGTAGTGAATTTATAGGTATCAGAATATTTATTACTATGATGCAAAGATAAATAAGGAAACTGATCTGATACTATTTTGATAATGGGAGAGTGATCATGAGTCATATACTCTAGAATTTGCTCATTCTTTGCTAATAATTTTTTTTCAGTTTTAGGTATAGATATTACAGATGGTATACCAGCAAGCATCGAATTGGAAGAGTTAAAAATAAATAGCTTGGTTTCTGTGATCACATGATTTTTACTATGACCATTTTCCTTATTCTTGGTCACGATTGATGATATACAATTTATAATATTTAAAATTTAGGTATCGGTTAATTCTGATATACTTTTTGTTCCATATAAAATTCCATAAACTTTATTAATCCCTATACCTTTAACTTCTTTCTTGGTTACTGGATCGACAATCTTTATAAATAACTTATAAGCATTTCCAGCTCTTTGGGTTTTCTTGCGTAGATTTGATTCTGAAACTTTAGGTAAGGAAGTTTTAATTATTGCATAAACTTGACTCCTTGCAGTTTTTTCAGCAACACCAGTTTTAGTTCGAATTTTAGCAACAGTGTTTTGATATGATTTTCTATAAGTACACCAACATATAGTTTCTTTTTGCTTAGTCTTTATTGTTTTACCTTCTGCAATTTCAGCATTGGAAAATAATCGAACTAGTACTCATCCACTTTTATCATCACCTACTTCTATATTGCTATCTTGAGTTTCAGAAATATTAGTTGATGAGGTAAGCAATTTTTCTTTTTGAATAAACAGTATTACTTCTTGAATTATATCTTGCTCTATTTTCTGATTATATGATATTTTTACTTCAGAAGAATGGAATTCTGTTTTTTGTGCCTGAACAATAGAAGGAGGATCCTGAATCGAAATATACGTGTTTTCTCTAGTTTGGTCTTGATTGATAGATAAACCACCTGATATAACATTAGATGGTTCCTTTGGCAAATTATTGTTTCAGAAAGATTGATCATACTAATTAATTGAAGATAAGTTTTGATTCTGCTTTTTTTCCTGATTCCTCTCTCTTATCATATTACTAACCCTTTCCTTAACTACCCTTTCTGCAAAATCAAGAGTCTCAGCTAAATCTTTATCGATAATGTCTTGTAATAGAAAGGTTTCAGATGTTTTAGGATTTGCTAAAGATTCAGATTGGGTTGAACTATGTTCTATTTCGGGCATAGGATTGGAAGTAATAGCTTCCTTCTCATTAGGTTGGTTCTCGGCCTTTAGCTGGCTCTCATTGAAATATCTCTTGTGGAAGTATTATCAGAATTTATTTCAGGGGAAATAGGAACTTGTAAACTCACTGGAATCTGCAAAATATTAATATCCTTGTCTTATAAGTTTTGCTTCTTGATTAGTAAGACATTGCATTTCAGTTTCGTGAATCTGCTTTCGTGTTTTTCTAAAGTTTGTTTTAACTTCGTATTCTTAGCTTTGATCTCAATATATTTTCGACCTTAACCTCGATATTCTCAGCTTTAACATTGACACACTTCTTTCTAAGTTCAGCAATCTGGTGAACAAGATCAGAATTCAATTCTCTCAATGCCTTAATCATGGATTGGTGTCTTCTATTGTTTTATACAAGATACAAATATGTTCAAAAGTTTGAAGTTACATGATTCGGACCGTGACCATTTTCCTTGTTTTTGGTCATGATTAATATACACACATATATATTACACAAAAAAATAACACATGATAGATTGTACGTTTCTTTAATCAAATTTTTATTAATAAAATATAGGATAAAAATACATAGTAAAATACATGATAAAATATAGCATATGTGGTTTTTTATATCGCAAAAATTACTTGATAAAATCATGATCACACTCACGATCGGAAAAATTCTGCTTCTCAGAAAATCATTTTGAATCATAGTAACAATCACGGAATAATCAGGTAACACAGATGTTGATCAACATATCACATGCTATATCACAGAATAAAATTAAAGTCATGAAACATCTGCATGATTTAACAGTGTAACCTGCTGATTGTTACATTTGTCATGCCATATAAATTCAAATCAGATTGACTAACTCGTGGCATATGCATCAAAATGAAAAATGCAATGATAATTTTATCATGAAGGTAGTTTAATAGTCCCCTATCCTATATGTTACTTTAAACTACTCATGATTTTTTACTTGCAGTATACTAGACAAATATCAGTGTCGAGAACTGGTCGATCGAATCCTTTGACGTTTATTGGATCTAACAAAATCTGCGTTCGCATCAAAGGTCAGCTCAAGCTTACGCTTCACTGGGTAATGAGTTAAGTATACTTGCTAAGGAATCAGATAAAAGGATAGCAAATAAAGCACAATTAATACAAATGCAACTAAAGGTTAGTATTATTGAAAGAAAATTACTGAGTAAGGATCTATGTTGCAAAGGTTCCATGTTACTACACCTCCCGATGCTTTCATGTAGGGTTAGATGACTTCTCAACCCGATAGGATATAGAATGTGGATGTACTACTCCCCTCGATGCTTTCATGTAGGGTTAGATGATTTCTTAACCCGATGGGGAGAAGCATGATGGTTTCGTTTGATATAAATAGAACTTTCCTAAATCTTAATTTTTCTTTTTTTTATAAATTATAGGACGGTTCATCAGAGATCTGTAAAATTATCTGGGAGAGAAGTGGTGAGATCACGTCATCACAGATTCATCTGACACTCAGCGAAATATTGGCAAAGGTGATTTGATTTTTTTTTAAACTTAAGGTTATAATTGGGGTACTGTTTATTAATAGATTTCCTCTAATTTTTAGGTCAATATCAAGAAAACTCTTTTTGGTAAGATCAGAGACTCTGAAGGAAAAAGAAAAAGGTACTTTTTAGGTACTATATAATTCTTTTCGATGAGTTATCTAAATTAATTCCATCCACATAAAGATTCCTTTCTACAACTGAAACACATCACGATATACATGTAAATTGTTTGGGAAAAAAAAGCAAGGTAGGAAGTCGGCTAATATTTTAGTGCATTATAAAATTGTTTATAGTATTAAGCATAAAAATATTTTCATCATAGAGTGAAGATACTGATAGAGAAGCAAGCAAGGATAACAGTAATAATAGATTAGAAGAAGCCGAGCACGAAGAGGTAAGTAATCAGATAGTTATATGGTTTATTGCGAATAACTTGGTTACTATAATTAAGAATCTAAATGAATTTCATAGAGCGAAAACCTGGTTAAAAATCTTCTTGATGAACTACAACAGTGCTCCGAGAAAACGAATAATTTAATACGTAGTTTTCAAAGATATTGCAGTGAATCTGTCAATGAATTAACTCGAAATGAAATTATGGACCTAACTCCATCTTCAGAGTTTGTTTTAAGATATACAGATGAGAATGACTACATGCAAGTTCTAAAAGAAATCTTTGAGTCTGTCGATAAGTTGTTTCTAGAAAGTGTGATTGAATTTCTTAATGAGTTTTTTTCAGAGGTATTGTTATATATTATCCTGTGGTAATTTGTCTTTTTGCTTGTCAATCACATTATCCCATTTATTTCTTTGGCAGAATTGTATTCATCAACAATGAGATAACAAGCTAGAAAGTTTATTGAAACCAGAGGAGGATCCATTTTTGAAAAAATTGAAAAGACTATTATTTGAGACATTACCAGCTTTGCAAGTATCTTTTCATTATTCTCAGTTCAACTAGGATTTACTGACATTTTATTTGTCTTTTAGCTTTGATGCATATTTCTTGCTTTACGATAATCCTCTCAAGAATCATAATATGCTAGAAGAAGAGTTTATGAATACATACATTTATTCCATTTTAAAGAAGGCTCTGCACAGGTTTTCGAGTATTCGTTATATACCATAAGTATTATTTATAGCAATATTTTTAATATTATTGTTAAGTTTTGTTTCTTTTAGGGGGAACAAGGCTGTTCAAACATCTGCATATAAAAAGTTAATAACAAAACAAGAAGGGAATGCAGACCGCTCAGATGGGATTGCGTACACCTTCACTTAAAAGCCTTATGAAATTTGTGTGATAGAAGGATCCAGACCATATGTCGTTAATGATATGAAAGAGATGTCTGATTATGTTCAGAATTCACGAGTGGGAAAAGATATTATAAACTACACTGTCATATCCGAAGTCAAGTTGAAACATGCACCGCCACTGCAATTCAAGGCCTATATAGTACAAAGCATTGGACTAAGTTTTTGGTTTTATTTTATGAACTATCTAGATATGTATATACATGAACATTGTTATAAGAAGAGATTACTTCGCTAACAAAATTTTTTTAGGAAAATATTGGCTTTTTGAAATCGAAATGTGCGAAATTCCAACAGATATAGAAGGTGTCGACTTATTCTCTTCTTTCTTTAAGGCAGTTGTGACTTGGGCGGTAAGTAATATAACTATTTGATATTCTGGGTTTGCATTTACTGACTTTGTCTATTGTATCTATTTTGTAGTTAATGGTTAGAGACACTGATCAAGAGTTCTGAACAATAAAGAACAGAAGAAGTGCATGCTATAGTAATGCTCACAATTTACGAGTTCATTCGAAAATAAGTCACAACAAGCCTCGTACAGGCAATACGAAAATTATAAAGAAAAAAAAATCATATAAGTGAAGTATAATAAAAAATGCTGGATGATGAAATGCATCAATCTTATTACTACTATCACTTTTACGTTTACGTAAATAATACATAGAGAATATTAATATATTCAAAAAAAAATTTCATGGATTATGAACATAATAAACAACGTATTAAAGTGAAACAAACTTGAAATACAATATATACTAAATAATGCAAGTGAAATTTGCTAACCGTTAAGTTTATTAAATACATGTAAGACCCAATTCCCGAAGATGCTCTGGAATAATCGGAATTTCAGTAGTGATTTTTTTACAAGTATTTTTTATTATGGAAGCATTCTGCCTATTAGAGAAAATCGCATCTGAAATTATATTAAGGTGGGAATTGTTGAGGACTTCAAATTTAAGTAAAAAAGTATTATGCTTTACTACGTCCGATGAGAGTAATCTTTGTCTAATTAATTCTCGAATAATATATCTATCTTGTCTTTTTTCTAGAAACCTCTCCAGAAATGTAAATCGGATGCATGTAAGCGTCGAGTTATTTGCAGATTTCAGATCACTTGATAAAAGATCCTCGGATGCCCAGAGGATATGTATATATTCGCGAGTATGACTTTTTGATGATTGATGTGTTTCCTTTTGAGTCTTATGCTAAAAAAAAATAATGGTTAATTAACCTTCTGAAACATTGTAGAACAAATAAGGCGAAATCCTAGCGAATATATTCAACAATTCCTCGCAATGTGATTTGGTCGGTTTTAACTACGGAGATGTGCATCACCCTCCTCTCCTTACACACTTTGCTTAGATTATTGATGACCACGCCAAGAAAAAAAGATTGAAAAAAAAGATACCAAAAAGGCGTTCTAAAAGGCCTGAAAAATATGAAGTGAAGTTTTTCGCACTCACACTAGGCAAGTACTGGGAGTGAACAGTCAGATCCTAGGCCTGCCTCGAATAGAGTTGGGGGCATGGAAAAATTTTTGGGCATGCCCCTCATAGAATGACACTTATATGATTGGCTAATTGATATCAATCAAAATGTAATTATTGACCAATCAA